TTAATAAAATAAGAATATAGAAAGGAGATAAGTAGCTTACTACGTTTAGAACCTTGTAAGAACTTTATAAGTTACTAGTAATGCTATTTAGCTTAATAAACGCCTTAGTAACTTTTTAGCAAATTATTAACACAGCTCTTAACCCCTACTTTAATGTCTTTACCTTAGTATATCTAGACAACGTCCTTATCTATTTAAAAGATACCCTAGAAGACTACGTACAAAAGGTACAAAAAGTTTTAGAATAGCTTAAGAAGTATAGACTTTACCTGCAGCTCTTTAAATGTAAGTTCTATGTTACTAAAATAAAATACTTAGAATTTATAATTAATAAAGAAAAAATAAAGATTAACCTAGCTAAAGTATAGAAAGTACTTAAGTAGCTAGAACTTATAATAGTTAAAGAAGTAAAAGAATTTCTAGGACTATTAGGCTATATTAGATAAATAATTAGGGACTATTTAAAAATTGCTATACTATTAACAAATGCTATAATAAAAAAGCAGGCTATAGCAAAGTTTATCTAGACCCTAGAAATAAATAAGGCATTTATAATACTAAAATAAGCTATAACAGACAAGCTAGTACTAAGAATGTACAACCTACAATTAGACACTAAGATCCACACAGACGCATCCCTAGGAGCCAGCAGAGCTGCGTTATACTAGAAACAGGAAGACAGAAAATAGCACCTAGTAGCGTACTATTCTGCTAAGTTCTTAGGACCTAAAGTAAGCTACAGCATACCTAATAAAGAGCTAAAAGCAATATTAAATGCTGTAAGAGTTTAGGCCACAGAGCTACACAGAATAGTAAGACTATTTAATGTTATAACAGACTATGTAAATTTAGTTATATTTTTAACAGTAAAAAAGCTGTTACTAATGCACGTAAGATAGGCAATAGAGCTTGCACAGTTTAACTGCATTATTAAGCATGTGCCTAGAGCACAGAATTAGCAGGCTAACGCCTTTAGCTAAAGACTAGACTACTTTAATAGAGAAAAAGAAAGAACTAAAAAGTTTACACTCTTTAAAGAAACTAATAAAAAATAAATCTATAATAGACTCTAACTTATAAAAGAATTCTACATGCTTATAGCTAGCAAGTAAGGATAAAAGAACCTAGTCTAGAAATATTATAAATCTCTAATGTTTAGACATCTAGGAATTAGCACCCTTTAAAAGAAGTTAAGGGCTGCTATACTTTAATAAATACTAAAAGTAAAGCAGTTATGCACAGAAGTGCTTAGGGAATGTAATACCTGTAATAAGAACAACCTATAGAGACATAAGGCCTACAGGTACCTTTAACTAATTAAAGCACTAAAATTACTATAGATAATAATTATAATAGATTTTATTATAAAATTACCCCTATCTAAAGAACTAGGGACTAATAGGATGTGCGACATAATTATAGTAGCTCTAGATAAGACTACTAAGTATTTATATATATAGCCCTTAGAAAAAATAATAATAGCTAAAGAGTTTATTTATAAAGTAAAGCAAAATGTAATATTAGTACATAAATGCCCTAAGATTATTATCTTTAACTAAAATAAGTTGTTTACTAGCAGTTTCTAGAAGACAGTAATGCAGCACCTTAGAATAGCGCATAAGCTATTAATAGCCTACCACCTGCAAATAGACAGACAGACTAAAAGAGCAAATGCAGAAGTAGAAAGATACTTAAGGAAGTACATTTTCTATACTTAGAATAATTAGGCAGAATAGCTTTTAATAGCGCAACTAGCTATTAACAATGTAGAATTAGCTACAACAAAAGAAATGCTGTATAAGGCTAATTTTAGATATAACCCCTACTTTACATTACACAGAAGTTAGCCTACAGATCTATAAGAATTAATAGACTAACTAAAAGACCTATGTTAGATACATAAGAAGTTAGCTATAGAAGCTAGATCTAGTAGAGAAATAATAGAAAAGTATGTAAATAAATCTTAATAACTAAGACTAAAAATCTACCTAGAAGATTATGTGTACCTTAACACTAAAAATCTTAAGATAACTAGACCTTCTAGAAAGCTAGTAAAAAAAAGGATTAAACTATATAAAGTCTTTTAAACCTAATAAGACAACTGTAAGCTTAAGCTTCCCCTGCATATAAAGATACACTTATAGTTCTATATCTCTAGACTAGAAAAAGCACCTAAAGGGATTCCTTTATCTACATAGAGATAGGAAGACAAAGAAACAGAATATAAAGTTAAGCGCATTATTAGCAATTAAAAAAACTAAAAAGAATTTCTAGTAAAATAGAAAGGATAGCTTACTAGTAAAAACACATAAAAACTAGCTAAAAATTTAAAAAACGCGCAGCTGCTAGTACAAGAGTACCTTTAGGCTTGTTTAAAAGAAACTAGCTAGGTAATAAGGCACCTATATTAAAAGAAGCAGCTATGTTATTACTAGATAGCAGCAGCCTTTAGAGACAAGTCTTAGCTAAGGAAGGTTAAGGGGGAGAACAACTATCTACTTTTACTTTAAGAGCTTCTATCTTATTTAAGGAGGAGAGGTCTCCCTTTAAGTATTTTGCGCAATAAGCCTCTAGCAGATCTAGTAATTTTTAGATATAATCCTGTCTAGAACGCTCTCTATCTATCGCCCCTAACATCTCCTCCTGCAGGCAAAGCTGTTCCTAGTCCCACGCCTGCTGCTCTTCTAGTAAAAGGCGCTTATAAGCTAGCTACTTCTCTAGTAGAACACATTTACAAGCCTTTGCAGCTAAGGCCTTCTAGAGGAGCGCCTTTTGTTCTTTCTCTAACTAATCTTATATAGCATTAAAAACAAAAGCGTTGCATTTACTGTGCTTTTTTACACATTTAACGCAGTTATTTAAGAATAAAGTTAACACATAAGACAACCTTAAGGATTAGCAAGCGCTATAGGGCCTTATTTTTGTCTAGTAAAGAGGATTAAAATAATAAGCAACATAAAGATAATAGAATAAGTAAGACTAACAAGCTATTTAGTATAAAAAAAATAAATGTTAAGGATGCCTTCTAGCAGGCAGACGCATATTTTATAAATAAACTCTTACTAACACAGATGTATAAGCAGAGCGGCGAGGACGCTGCTAGGGAGAGAGGGCAGCGTGTTACAGTCTACAGTTGGACTAGCGTAACCCCACTAGCAGTGCTCCACAATCTAGCTGGGTTAGGACAGGGCTCGCTTAAAGACTAGTTAGAGGACACAGAGGCAGCGCAGCTACCTAAGGTTATAGAAGAATGTGTTGTCTAATAGGAGGACAGGCTGTAAGTTTAGGGAGCTTAAGGGAGCTTAAGGGAGCCCGCAGGAGCCTTCTTAGCAGACTCCTATAAACTCCTGTTAGCTCCCCTTAGCATCCCTAGCACATGTATATAGTTCCTGCATTAAATAACCTTTAGAAGGTGTGTTTAATGTTTAGTTTATTCTTTACATAAACTAAGTAGCATTTAGTTTTCTAAAGAGCTGTAATACTATTTGTATATCTTGCACTATATATACCTCTAACCCTGTCTGTAAGGACTGTTTAACCCCAGCCTCCCTACTGCCGCACATAGGGCAAACCACGATCTAGTTATTCTACTCCCCTCTATTAGCCTAATAGCCTGTACGTAGGACTGTACACCCTACCGGATTGGCCCCTACTTTCCGTCCTACTTCCCCCCTAGGAATATCAGCAGACCTGAGTGCTTCCCGAAGCAAGGATTGTAACACTCTACTATGCCCTACGCTAGGCCTCTTAAGCCTAGTATAACAACCTTTGTAGTAATACAGTCTATCACTGCTTCTGCTAAGCCAGAATCTAGCCTACACAGGAACTAATCTGTCTACCTAATCTAGAGGAGCAGCCTTAGCAGGAGCTAGAGGAGCTATACAAACAGGTACAGCACGCTGGCAAGATCTAGGACGCTATAAGTCTTAAGAACTTCCTTAATCCTATTAATAAGGACAATAAGCCTAATTAATCTAACTTTAATATAGTAGACGCTATTACAAGGTACAGCTAGCTGCTAGCTATAGTTAAAAAGGAATTAGAAGATAAAGAGGCTCCTGTACAGATACCTACCCCTACTAAGGCAGAGCAGGCTCTTAAGTTACTACTCTTATATTAAGAACATACAGATAGGACAACTTCTTAGCAGATAAAGACTCTACAGCAGCTGTATACTAAAGCAAAGGCTTAGAAATCTAAGCAGGCTGTCTAGGGCACCCTAGATAGTTGGCTTACGTAACTATTTTGCTATAACAATATTTTAATATAACAATATAATCCTAGCTCCCCGTTTGTATCGCGCCATCAAGAGTTGACTGTATATATATAATTAAAATATAATTTCTAAGCTTTTACTCTTTTAGTAAAGTGCTACTTAAAAGTAAGTAAGCTAAAAAAAAAAAATAGAACTTACATAAGTATTTAAGCTACTATAGAGATTTAAAGATTCTATTTAAATAAAAATAGAGCTTAAATTAGAGAGTTTTTAGAGAGTTTTAAGGCTGTAATCTAACAGAGCGGTGGGTGCTGTTTAGAGGAAGTTTTCTTGTTTCGGGCGAGCTTTTAGATACATTGGCCGAATTTAGCCGACAAGCGAGATTTTAGCGTGTATGACCGAGCTGCAACCTCCTAGAGGACAAAGACTGCCCTCGGTCTGCCTCAGCTTACTTTGTACCGGTCTCGATATCACCCAAAGCATACGTGTGTGGAGACTTCGTAACCAGTTCTTTGGTGGAGTGCTGGTCTTCTTGAATTGTAACATACGGCTTCCGGTCCTGGAGACTGTTGATGGAGGAGCTGGTGTTCGAAGTTTTCGACCGACTCAACTGTGAAGGGATTGATACAACTGATCTGATTCGGTAATACAGCTCCGATTTGGCGAAGTTTGTCCCGAAGCAGTAAATTCCTGGTGCGCAGCTGACTACGATGCCAACGGCATTCGATTATCCTGTGCGCGAGGTTAGCTTCTCCGATCTTCGCTGAGTCTCCTCGCTGGCTACTCACGTGCAAATCATAGCTATGGTCATTTCCATGGAAGTCCCTTTCAAGGACCGGACTTTGTAGACCAAGGACACCGTACTGGCAGCGATAGCACTGAGGAATGTTAATGTCATACGGTCCTTTCATACGCCTTGACTGCTTACAGGATTCCCGTCATGAATACGATGAGTAAACCAAGTTTCTTCGCGAACGGAAGCTGCATCTTCAGGATAGATGAGATTGGTAGGAAGAAGATGATCAAATCTGTAATGACGGAGATCACACCTAGCGCAACACCAGAAGCTGAAGCCTTCCTAGAACACTGTGTCAGGTAAAGGAGATCCGCGGGTCTGGTTATATCCAGATCTCGAATTGGACAGATGCACGCTGTTGAGCCCACTATGTACGCTATCGCGCTGATAGCAAGAACGGCATAGGAGGTCCTTCTCAGCCACCTCTCAACACCGAAAATGCGGGTGTATAGCAGGAGGATCGGAGCCTTGGAGGCCCACATGGATGAAGAGACTACGAGGTCAATCGCTATGTTTAGCTACGCCTCGGTTAGCGCATGGCGACAAGACGACTTAATGGAGCTCTAAACATACCTGCTGCGCCGTCTTCAGACTGGTTGCGAGGCTAGTGAAGGCTTCTTCGATGCTAGTATAACATTTGCAAGTGCTAACAGCGGGGCAGACGAGAAGATCTAACCTTTCACGAGAAGATGCATGAGTATCAGGTTACCGACGAGAAAGATGGTTGCAACAATCGCCATATCTTCTCACAAAGTAAGCTTTCGCCACTAAAAACTAATGCTCCCCTTACAGTCACTAGGGAGCAGACGCTTTGCATAGCGGGCGTTAGCGCCGATGCGTACTGCCACAATTAGCCCAGTTAAAGTAACCAGAGTCGCTCCAACGGCTAGGAATGTGTCTATGGACATCGCAGTCGAGGCTAAGAGAGACATGGTTGCTGTTGGACCTCTGCGGGGGTGTTCTTCGTTACGTTAGGCGTTATGCAATTGAAGATGGGGCAAGAGAAAGAGATGAGATGTGGGATTCGAAGCCTGAGAACGAGCAGACAGCTGTAGGAGGGACAGTTCAACAATGATGCGGCGTAGGTAAACTCCGCCTTCTATGAAGTTCAACGAGCTCCGGACTTTGTATTCTGGTCAGGTCTTGCGGCGTGGATTCCATGCATGGCTAGGGGACGCTGTACTTGCATACAGGATGCTTGGGGAACGTGCGCAGCTCTGTTCCTCCCCGGACAACTTATCTCAATGCAAACCATGTTGCAGTGGAAGCTATCTGATAACTTGGCCGCGAGGCTACAGATTGCACTTCGGGAGCAGCAGCCCCTGGCCGTGGGATTCACCCACAAATCCACCCTAAGCCGTTTCTTTACGAGTAGTTCTATGGGGCGTTGTCACCTGACATTGAGGATCACGTTCTCGAGCATATTTATCGAAAATCTGCTTTATCTGATCCCAAACTTGGACACACTCCATACTCCGATCCATAAGCCAGTGGGTACCGAAATACACGTATAGTCACTCGATTCTCTATCGGCGGTGCGCTATTACATCGCCCTTTCAAATTAACAGTCATGGTCTCTTTAGGAAGTTATGCCTTAGTGGCTCCTTTAGAAGAGACTCCTTTGATTCTCGTTTTTGGGATACCATTCATTTTGTGGTTTTGGGCCTTGTTTCTGCAGAAGAAGGCGGTAAGTAGCAAGTAATCGCAAATGCCTCAACATGTGCTAATATCTAGTAGAAATCCCGGCTCGAGACTCTCCTAAAGCCGATTCTCAAACGAATCGCCGCATGGAGATTCTTGCTCCACGGGCCGTCCATGATCCAGCAGGCTTTCACACAGGTAATTACTTAATGAATGATCCCATGGCGAACCCTGATTAACTTAACAGTCCCACGGGGATTCTTTTGAAATTTTGGCCCCTGATACTCGATATGTTTTTGTGTCTTCGCCCAAGCACATCAAAGAGCTCGACGATGCGCCTGATACCGTTCTGTCATTACAGGCGGCTTCGAAGCATGTATGTGACGAATAAAAGACGTAATAACAGCTTCTAACAATCGGAAAGATGTTGCAGCCGCACTATACGATGCACGGTTTCAATTGGTTCCATCGTCGAGGCACTGAAGGTGTGGGATTTGTGCGCGCTCTTCGCACGCTTTTGACAAACAACCTTCCTAATATCTTACCGGATCTGAGTGTCATCATCCGGACGAGATTCTCTCAGTTTCACGCTGAACATCGTCTGATAAAGGGTGCGTTGCCACGCCCATCTGCTTGCGAAAGCTAATAGCACATAGGAGAGAGGCACTCGCCTGTCTATCAAACGATCGTCAAGTTAGTAGTACTATCGAACGCAATCTCCTTCTTTGGACACGAGCTAGGTGCGATATTCACTTTGACGGATGTTTCGTCTACTGATTTGGCGAAAGCGAAGGATGAAATACTGATGACGGCGGCATTGGCCTATATTGAGGAGACAGTATTTTGCGCTGAGATACTCCGCTTATTGCCTAAGCTGCTCGTGCCGTACGTGAAGAAATATTGTGCAGAGCTTCTACTAACGTGTCCTCTAGCTTCGTAGGGGGCATCATCGCTCGTCGGAAAAAGTGCCACGAAGTTCTCTTCAATGCTCTAATGCCGGTAGCTGAGGAACGCTGCAGGGAGAGAGACCGTTTAAACCTCGGACAGACGGTACCCAAGCATGTAAGGAGGTTAACGCTGTTATGATTGATATAATAATGACTCTTCGAAGGCAGATTGCATTCAGTGGATCATGGAGACTTCTCCAAGAAAGGCACCCTGGACCGCGAAGCGAATAGTCCATGAGCTGATGGCGATCTGGTTCGGCTCAGTGCATGCCATGTCTACTGTATGTTGTCTATTATTTAGCGCGACTCTCAAGATAACGGCTGCTTCGAAATATTTTGCTTACTAGGAAATCAGACAGTTACTTTTGCAATCCACGATCTCTGCATTCATCCTGAGTACGTCGAACCGCTTCGAGAAGAGCTTAAAAATCGTTTTGCAGATTTCGAGCGTACCGGGAATGGGCTCCCTTTGTTAGACAGCTTCATCAAGGAGTCAGCACGTCTTACGCCTGTCGAATCATGTCAGTCTTTTTCACTCCAATCTAACAACCAGCCCCAACACTAACTTCACCAGTGAGTACCAGGCGTTGTGCAATCCAACCTTTCACACTGTCAGATGGAACAAAAGTCAACAAGGGTGACTGGGCCTGTACACCCGTTCGCGCAATCATGCAGCATAAAGACTACTATCCTGAGCCGCTTGAATTCAATGGCTTCAGGTTCGTGAACCCCGCTCTTATTGACCTCAAAGGCAAATTCAAGTCTTGTCAACCGAATCCCTCAAATCTCGTTGACGTTGGGGATACGTACCATGTGTGGGGCACTGGGAGAATGGCTTGGTCAGTTGACATGTTAACGATTTCTCCCAAAAGCCGTAACGCTAACGATGACCTAGTCCCGGACGGTATTACGCAGCCGCTATCATGAAATTGATCGTAGCGCAGGTCATTCAAAACTACGACTGCTCGCTTGCCGATCCGGAGGCACTTCGGTGGTGGACTTGGCGTTCCAGCATGCTGCCCAAAGAAAGCACTATGATCATTTTTCGACCTCTTTGAGCGAGCGACCCATTCCGCGCAGCGCAGCCAATGAGAAGGAGTCCGAGCAGACTGCCCCATCCTACGTCTGCAGAAGTAACAGAACGAGATCACTACCCTATCAGCCGATTCTCAAAGTGGATTTAGAGCTAGATATTCTACAATAGTTAACCTATGCGAGGCCTTTCGCTGGATTGCGTGATTTGTTGTGATGGCCCTCAAAGCGAGTTTTGCAGAGCTTGGGAGAAGTTGCGGGACATGTGTCTATAGTCCACAAGTGCTGACTTGAGAGGAGATGGTAATCTTCAAGCAGCCGCATGTCTCCAGGCCGGTTTTTAGAGAGATTTTGCCGGACCCTGACATTCTGATGGCGCTTCTAGGATGCTAGTACGATTTTATGAAGATCTCGGCGCGCTCCGCGTGCTCCGCATGAGGGGCTGCAGAGGATGCCCATCCCTACACGCTCATTGACACCCACCCATACCGTCGGGTGTGCAATTAACGGCGGCAATTGACCGAGTCACATCGTCCGTATTACGCCAGGATCCCTGTGCCTCGCGGTTGCGGCTGGCGGCTGGCGGCTCGCTCTTTGTGCTGATGATTGGCCGGCTAAATAGGAAGGTTGCAACCAACTTGTCTGCGAGTCCATTGCCTAACGTAACCATCTGCATGTGTGTGGATCAGATAACCGATGCTGCCCAGGTGTACAAGCCCCAAGCTGTGAATGCTGGGAACACCCCAATGATGAAGTACCCCTGTTTACCTTGACCAGCGTCACAATCTATTTCTCGGACCCCGATGCAAGAGACCAACAAGACCTGGACGATGGTTGAGAGTTAGGTTTAGGATTAAGGTAATAATCGGACTAAGGACGAAACAGAGCTGACTGACCTAGGGGTCACCCAGCACTAGTCACTTCGGCTAGCCAGGCCATCACTGCCCTCAACCAACCATCTCACAACAACTTTTCACTCACACAAGCCCTCATCCAGACTTTCGCGATCACAATCCCACTATGTCTGCTCTCAAAGCCTTGCAAACCGAGTTCCCAGCCTCCCAAATCCTCTTACCAGAAACAGAGGCATACAAGACCAGCAACTCGACGTACCTCGCTCAGCAGAACAGTGATATCAAACCAGCTGCTATCTTCCAAGCGGCAGACGCAAAGGATGTTGTAAAGTTCATTCAACTAGTCTCGCCATTCACAAAAGACGAAGATTTCGCTTTTGCCATCCGTGGCGCTGGAGCGAACCCGCTCCCTTACGGTAATAATATCGGCGAAACCGGAACTACCTTGGATCTATCCCGTCTCGATGAGATCGATGTCGGCGAGAATTCGGTGAGCATCGGGGCGGGAGCCAGATGGGGTGCCGTATACGATGCTTTGGACGGCACTGGCCGTGGCGTTTCTGGAAATAGGAGTGCGAAAGGCGGGATAGGAGGGCTTGCTCTTCAAGGTAGTTACGTCTCTACGCCATAATGAAGCATTAACTGACACATCCTAGGTGGCGTTTCTTTTTTCTCTTCCCGTGAGGGGTTTGTATGTGACAACGTTCTCAATTATGAAGTTGTACTGGCCTCTGGCGAAATCGTCAACGCCAACGCAAAAGAGAACAGTGACCTCTGGATTGCTCTTCGAGGAGGAGGCAACAACTTTGGAGTCATCACACGCTTCAATCTACGAACCTTTCCGCAAGGTAGGTTTTGGGGAGGCAGTGTTTACTACTTCGGCCCGAGCTTCCCAAGCCAGGTCGAGGCTCTAGTCAGTGAGCTCAACAAGCCTGACGCGACTAAGGAGTCACATTTGATGATAAGCGCTGGGTTCTCTCACCTGTTTGGGCCGCAGGCAATGTGCATGAACCAAGTGTACTACACGCAAGAGGTGGAAAAGCCGGATGTCCTGGAGCCTTTTGTGTCCGTCAGTCCGCAGATTGACTCAATGAATTCGATGCGTATGATGACCTTGAAGGAGGCTGCGTCAGAGCAAGCTGCGGCGTCGCAGCAAGTCAGGTAAGCAAACCTCATTACAGTCAAAACCAACCCCCACGTCAAAAGCTTCTCTTTCGTTCTCTTACGATGCATAGATGCTCCTATATGAACGCGACCGTGAAAGCCGACGCGGAAACCTTGAAGCAGGCATACGAATTCTACACCTCATCTGTTGCAACCATCAATACCACCACTGAAGGTCTAACCTGCTCACTTACCTTCCAACCATATGCACTTTCATTTCTAGAAAGCTCCGCTTCGCAAGGGGGCAACTCCCTTGGTCTGGACACCTCCAGCGGTTCGCTCGTGTCCGTCCTTCTTCTGAGCTATTGGAGCAAACGAGAGGACGACCAAAAGATCAAAGAGACGATGAGGGGTGTCTTGGAAAAGATTGAGCAAGACTCTAATGAAAGGGGCACAGCAGTGTCCTTCAAGTACATGAACTATGCGTCTGAGTTCCAAGACCCAATCTCTTCGTACGGGTCAGAGAACAAGAAGAGATTGCAGGATGTGAGTCGAAAGTACGATCCTCAAGGACTGTTCCAGAAGGCTGTTCCCGGTGGCTTCAAGATTTTTCCTTAGATGCTAAGGGGTCATTTGAGGGAACGCGTTGCTTCACGTATAGCATTGAAGGCATTGCCGTCTGCCCTCTTCATAAAAGTCAACTCGCAAGAAGTTTCCTACATTTTCAGTGTGTCTTTCCCGAGGTCCACGGGTCCAATGCGTACACGCCACGTGACCAAATGTCCACTTCTAAGGCTGTTGTTCAACCGCAATACAATCGAGAGGTCTTCGTCGAGTCTGTGGGGCCACAGATGTTCTCGGCCTCTGTTTGATTCGCAGCCGAATCTATATTGGCGCCTCATAGCTAGGATGAGTATCCAGGGTTGATGCAGTTCAGCTCCGGAGGGATGCCGTTGTAAGAATGAGATCTCACTAGACGAAAGGCACCGAACCACTTCATAACATCGCGGGTGGACTCGGCTCGCGCTCCTTAGTTGCCAGCAAGCTGTGCAATGATCACGCCCCTCGTCACGCTGGGCACCTGAAATGAATGGCACATCTTGACTAACGCATGAGACCCTTCATCCTAGACACTTCGCCAGACCCTTACCCCGGCTTGTAAAACTTTCTCTGACCTTGGAGTCTCAGGTTCCGTGCCGGTGAGCTACTGTGCCTCATTGCCAATACCTCTGGACACATTCGTAAATTAATAGCTCAGAGAAAACCACACAGATGCGTCGTAACCGATTCCAGCCAAGCTAGGATTGGGATGCATAGGTAGTGTCGGTACGTTCCAAGCTGGGGAGACACCCTCCTGTGATGTACCCAGATGGCGAAGATCCCGGCGGGCCTCGCCTCAACGGGCGTTTATCCTTATGGTCCTACCAGAGATTATCAGATGTCCGTCGGCGGCGCAGCACGTGAACATTCAAACGTGTTCCGGCCGGAAGAAGGCCTTCCGAAACTTTCAAATATATGTGCAATTAGGCCAAGTCAACGATGATCGAATGGAGGAAAGATTACTGACAGTTGTCCGGATCTGACTGCTGTTCATGTGGCACAGCAGGCGCGTACGTAGCATACGCCCAAAAGGTAGCCCTGCAAATGGGCAGGAGAATTTATGTCCTGCGTCGTCTCCCCTATGGTTTTATGGACGGAAGAGTTGTCCTTCGTCCATCTTCGTCGACCTGCATATATTTCGTTGCCTACTTTGAGACAGAAACTATGCCAGGATGTAATGTTGTCGCCTCGCAGCTCCGGTCCCCTAGGCGTAGATTAAGCGACGATGGTGCAGTATATTCTAACTCTTTGCATATTACAATGTGCGTGGAGAAGGTAAAAGGCCATGCCAGCGAGGTTTTCTTGGTTGGTCAGCGGCTGAGTCGTGCATGAAAACGCGCGCCCTACTCATCTAAGGGCTTGTAATGCTTCGCTACAACTCGATTCTTTCCATGAAAGCTCTATCCGCATGGCCGGTTTCCCGCATAGGCTTTCGTAACCCCCCGTTAGCGCTTGGAGATGGTCGAATTCGTCTGCATCCTCCCCAAGCGCCCACGCGAAAACACCGCCGAGTTCTTTCTTTTAAATGACAACAGGAAACTTAAGCAACACAGCCTCGGGGGTATCAAGTGTCTACCATATGTTTTCATCTGAGTTCCAGATTCGCTGTCATATTTTCCTTGTGACAGCGCTTTGCTGAATGACTGTGCTAGCTCTTCAGGGACCTTGTTATGCCACGAGAAGGCACCTGCTTGGCTAAGATCTGCCCTCGATTCCAGATCCTCTATAAGCACTGTCTTACAGCCGATTGGTTGCGTTAAGCAATTAGCCTCAGGATTAGTCCTAAACTACTTTACATAAAATGCAAAGCCAAGATTAGCTTTAGAAGCCAGAAGACCTTTATCTAAGTAGCTGTCAACAGCTTCGAGAGACAGCGTCACGCCTGTATAGTGGTTTGTGACATTGTCTCTGCAATTTATCAAGCTGTATGTCATAATATTAAAGAAATCGACATACTTATTGATTAGAGGTATTGTTTCTTCCGTAAAGGCTATTATATCCTGGGGAAGTCCTGGGACAGTGTTACGGATATCTTACCTCGACTTTTCTATTGCTAGGTGCCTTCTGCCGGTAACTGGTCTCTTTAGGGAGTAGGAGATAGGAGAGCAGAGGGAGGGGGTTTAGGAAAGGTACGTCACGTGATACTTTAACTTATCATAGTGCCTAGAGGGTGTATATCTGTACAGTCCTTGCAAAGTAGAGGTAAGGTAGAAGGGAGAAAGAAGTAAAATAGAAGTAAAGAGGAAGTAAAATAATTAATATATTTTAAAGCTCTTATAAATAGAAAAAAGTCTTTACACACTTCTAGTTAAAAAGAATATTAGATATATTGCTATACCTAAGGCTGTGCCTTGAAGATAAGGACAACCGCGACCTTCCAAACAGTGGAGGAAGATCAAGACTATATACCCGCTAGCGATCGTCGTGATCGCTGGGTTCCGGCCATGATTGTAAAGATGGGATAGTAGATAGCACGGATAGCACTGAGAGCAAGGTTTCGGAGAAAGATAGGAGTGTATTGTAAGAGAGACGAATCGCTGCCAAGCCTCGCTTGTCAGGATTCATGCTTATATACGAAGCACAGGTCATGCGACCTCCAAACAGGTTGTAACGATTCTACGAATCGTTCCATCTCGGGTCACTCGGATCCTATCCGAAGGGTCCCCGTATCGGCCCCGACCATGACTCGACCCAGTCCCCCGCTGTTACCCCTATTCCCTCATGTATTTAGTCGCACCTCGCCCCCGTAGCTAGCTCGGTAGTTTTCTGATATCCTACGTACAAGGCCTATAGGTGTCATTGGTATTCCCAAGTCTCTGAGTCCCCACGCACTCCCATATGCCTCTGAGTGGATTCATACCGCATTCGGACCCATTGTCTTGCCTGCGCCGTTACACAGGTCAGGTGAGGCCATACTGGGCCGTTCTAGGACATCCGGCCTTACAATGATCGCCTAGCGATCGTTATCTCACGGGTTAAACGCTCCTTTAAGGTTTAACTAGACTAATCACAGCGCTATAGCTAGTAATATCACTTTTTGCAACTGTCTGCAGAGCGTCTAAGAAGAAATAGAGTAAATTTGTATGTATCTCTGTTTAGCCTTTAGCCTTTTTTAACATTCCCCTACTTACAACGTAATAAAATAGATATTTATTAAATATAATTAAAACTTAAGCAACAAAGCTATATAGTAGTTACATTTTAAAAAAGCTAAACTTATAACTTAAAAGTAAAGTAAACTACTAAATCTAGTTCTTGTAATGAGGTAGGCGCCCCGCCTGCCAAGCCGATACTATTGTCAGATTGAAGCACTGTTTCTGGGCTTCCTGAGATGAATGATGGGTTTGGATATGATGTATGGGATGATGATTGATTGTATTGATTTATTGATCCTTTTTTTTGCTCTACTCGTGTTGCTCGGCTTTTTGTTTTGCCGATCCGAGTCCCTCGCGCACTTGCCCTATGCGCGACCAGCTTGCAACATGCAGCAATTTGCAGCAACATACTGTTCGAGCTTATTGCTCGTACTATGTAGCAGCTTTCGTCAAGCGTTCCTCCTGTCTTGACAGTAGGTGCGCATATCTGACAACTATACGACTTTCCCCACTGTACCAAAAGGTACGCACGAGAATACTTAAGCTAAGTATTCTCGCATAGTATAATATATATATAGGTAATGCTAGGGTAAGCACTAGCACTAGCGGTTGTCTCTAGCCTAGCCTAAACCTCTATGAGCGAGAGAAGGCCACGTGGTTGACCGTGCCGACCTCGTTACAGTTCTAAGTTACTTTACTGTCACGGTTAACTTAGACATGCCTCGGACTCTCCCCGGAGAGCCCTCGGCCCGGCCTTGGGCACATGACGTCCCGTCACGTGCCCCAACACACATATATATATATATCCTCTCACGAACCCCTGAGTCTCCTCAAGGATTCGTTTATCAATACTATCCTGTACCCCCTTCTGCGCTTCATGCTTCCTGCTTCACAGTGCTCTTACATTTACACTAACTTACTTTTTTTATGTAACTTAACTACAAGAGCAGCTAGAGGCAAGCTATATATGCTTATTATATGTAAGAACTCTAGTATAAACTACTTAAAGCTTTATAAGCACTTAGAAATTAAATAGCTATAATATATTACTTTATAATTATTATTATATAATAGTAACTACAAAACTTGTTTTTATTAAAACGCATTTTATAAAAAAAAAGTAAAATAACTATATATTAGCTAGTAATTATATAATATTAATAGAATAATTTACTAACGCTTTGTTACGGTCTACGGTTAGACCAGCGTAACTCCACCGGCCGTGCTCCACAGTCTAGCTGGGTTGGAGCAGGGCTCGCTTATGGACCAGTCAGAGGACACAGAAGCAGCACTGCTGCCCGCGGTAATAGAAGAGTGCATTGTCTAATAGGGGGACAGGCTGCAAGTCTAACAAGTCTAAGAGAGCTTATAGAGCTCTTCTTAGTAAGCTTGCATAAACTTGTCCTGCTTACCTTAGCACCCTCTATATATGTATATAGTTCCTACATTAAACAACTTTTAAAGAGGCGTGTTTAATATTTAGTTTATCTTTTATATAAACTAAGTAGCATTTAGCTTTCTAAAGAGCTATAATACTATTTATATATCTTACACTATATATACCTCTAACTTTGTCTAATAAGACTGTTTAACTTTAGCTACTATACTGCTATACATAGAGCAAACTATAATCTAGTTACTCTACCTCTCTTTATTAGCCTATTAGCCTTTACATAGGACTGTACACCCTGCTGTTAGCCCTTGCTACCTGTTCTACTCTCTACCTAGGAATATTATTAACCTAAGTGCTTTTATAAAGCAAAGATTATAACATTAAACATAACTTTTTTTAAAAAGTATAAATCCTACATAATATAATTTAGATTCTAATATAGCCTACACAGCTTTATTAGGATTTATAGAAGTTTCTACTTAAAGTAAAGCTATCTTAGCAGAACAGATTAATATAATCTAAGATAATATAAAAAAACTTTAGTAGATTAGTAATAAAATAAATAAACTAGTAAACTTTTAAAAAGAAGTTAAAAACTTTTACTAGAAAGTAGTAAAATTTAATAACTCTTTATTACCTATAAACCTTTAATAAGCTACTAGCTCTACGCATTAGATACACACATTATAAGTAGAGCTAGCTAAACTCTAGAACATCTTAACTAAGAGAATAAGCATTATAGCTAAGAAGACTTTAAGACTAGCCTTTTTAAAGCTTTTTAGAGAATTACTAAAGAACCTCTGCCTTTTTTTTACTAGATGCTACCTTTACATGCAATATAATAAAAGAGCATTTTAGACTAATGCAGAAATAATATCTTAAATAGGATTATACCTAAAGAGCCTCTCTATAATTTAGTTCTAGCTACACATAGATAATTAAATAGACTTTAGAGCTAATAGCATAACACTTACCTCTAAAATAAAAGAAGTGTTTAGCAGTGTTAAAGCTTTTAAAAATGCCCTAAGAGCTATTTATAGAACTATAGATAAATAAAAAATTATAGCTAATAAACTAGACACCTTTAAGTAAGGTAATAGCATAGCCTAAAATTACGCAGTGCGCTTTAGAGAACAGCTAGCTATCTATAGATAGATAGACTAGAAAGCCCTTTACTGCATGTTTTATAATAGGCTAATATAATAAAAGATAAATTTATGTATAATAATAAACTAACTACTTTTAAAAGCTTTATTATATAAGCAATAACTTATAACAATTACTATAAAAAGTGTTAATAAAAAAAAGTAAAAAAGAACTTTTTAAAAACTAGAATTTATTCTTAGAAAAAAGAAGTCTTTTTAGTATAATAAAGAACTAATAGGTCTTAGTTATGTAAAGCATATATAAAGCCCTCTTTTAAAGAAAAACTAAGTTCTAGGACGTAATAGGCCGCCTCTAATAAAAAAAATAATAAAAGTAGTTAAAAAACAAGGCCTACTTAAACTATAAAAAAGTAAGACATTTCTACTAAAATTACCTAGACTCTTAGAAGAGAGAGAATAAAAATACTACTATAATAGTAAAAGCTATTACTACTAAATACAGCCTTATAGAAAAAAAATATTAGAAAGATTAAATAACAGACTTTACTAGTAATGTAAAAAAAACTATTCTTTAAAAAACTACTTTAAAGTGTATTAAAAAGTAGTTATTTAAAACTTTAGTAGCTTAGATAAAGTATTGCAGGACCTTATAATTTTTAAAAAATATAAAGAAGAAACTTAGATCTAAGAATATTTTATAAATGTCTAAAAAAAAAAGAAATAGTTTTTTTTTTTATAACTAGACTCTTAGCACTTTAGCAAGAAAGCTCTTTAAACAATTCTAGAAATGTAAATGCTAAAAGTGTAGTTTATAACACAACTACCTTAATAAATGCATAGTTAGGCTTTACTAGATAAATATTAGTAATAATTACCTAATGTTTAACATAATATAGTAGATAGCTAAAGTTAAATACAACATTATAAATAATAAATAATAATAGCAGTTTTTTACTAAGATCTAAAACTAGAAAATAAAAGGACTAGGTAGACCTGCTAGGTTTAAAGTCCTAAAACTAGTACTTAGAAAACCTAAAACACTGCTTCTAAGCCTTATAATTAGCAGGAAAGCCCTTATAATGTAACAAAACTACAGTTAGTGTGTACTTTACAGAAGTAACGCCTACAGCACTAACAATTACTAGTAGAAAGGACACCCTGTACAGGTAGTATAAACTAGGGAGTACTCTTAGTAGACTTAAAAGAGCCCTCTTAACACCTTACATAGACCTAACAATTGTCTATACCCCTAGTACTAGTGTACGCAATAGTATTGCACTAGACACTAGAATAATAAGCACTAAGCAGTGTAAGGACGGAGCTCTGTACCACTACGCCAATACAATCAAAAAGGTGCGAATAATCAACCAACATTAATTATTGCGTACAGAATAGTATATATACCCGTCGCACGTAAGCACCATCTCGGCCTTACATTATCCCCCTTCTTAGCAGACGCATGTCCCAGGCGTCACATGACCTACCCGCAGCTCAGAGGCGCCTATGCGCATGTCTCGGTTACCGGCCAGAGGCTGACCACCTGCGGCCCAGAGGCGCGGGATAAATAACAACGCAACGCTCAGTGGCCCACGCCAGCTAAGCCATATACACTAGACCTCCCAGCAGCAACAACGTGGCGCCAGAAGAGGCCGCCTCACGTTTCAGTCTAAAAACTGGCAAAGCTGTCCAAGGTGTGGGTCGAACGCGCGACCGTCCTTGTTGTTAGTTAATTATTATGTAAGGACAGAGCTCTGTACCACTACGCCAATACAACTAAAAAGGTGCAAATAATCAACTAACATTAATTATTGCGTACAGAATAGTATATATACCCGTCGCACGTAAGCACCATCTCGGCCTTACAAGCAGGCTAGTAGCCTACATAAGAAAAGAACTACAACAGATGCCTATAGCAAGGGACAGCCTTAGCCTGCAAAACTATAAACTGCTATACTTATTAGACAGCTTCTTTTTATAAATAAAAAAAATAGCTAAACTATAAAAATAAGAACAACTATAAGATTTATTACTTTTAATAAAAAGTAGTAAGAAAGAAAAACTACCTAATGTTACATTACTTAATAGAAGAGTATAAGTGTAAAGTAGCTAACTACTACAACTAAAAGCACTAAATCTATAAAAAAAAAAGATAAATTTAATAATAACTTATAAAACATTAACTTATACCTCTTAAATAAAGAGGTTTTTTATAATATATTAGTCCTAGTTGCAGTAGGATAAGGGATAGGACATAGTCTAACTACAACCTTTACGTTTAAAGAATGCTTAGGACTAGCTCTTATTAATAGCGGATGCACTTTTACTATAATAAATAAAGACTAGCTAGATAAATAAAGCATTTTTTTCTAAATAAAAAAAGACCTGTTTAAGGTAACCCTTGCTAACATATTCTTAATAGAGTATAGTAATAGATAGATTAACCTAGAAATATATAAAAA